GAGGGATGTTGTTAAGGTCCTGGTGGATGGGAAGACGTTCATTCTCCACAATCCTCTGAAATCCCCGAAGGGTTGTGGCATCATGGCAAATGGATGGGGGAGCAATGTGTGACAGCATGGGCAGCCAGGGTGTTGGGGTCAACTTGAGGGTTCCAGTGATGCACTGCATTGTAGTGTTCAGTTGGACATCAACAAGTCGAATGTGGCTACTTCTGGTCCATACTGTTACGCTGTTCTTGGCTATGGAGTACACGAGGGCCATCGCTGAGGTCTGTAACTTTGCGGGTGCTTCCCAGCTTGTGCTTGCCGGTTTTTGGACCAGGCTGACCCTTGTCTTCATCTTGGCAGCTACCTTCTTCAGATGGTTATGGAAGGTTAGCCTGCAATCCAGCTTCATTCCAAGATAGGTCAGAGTGGGGTCATGTTGCACAGTGGCCACAGAAGGTCACTTTTAGGACGTGCTTAGCATTCCTGTTATCAAGATGGAATGCAGTGACTGTTGTTTTGTGAGGATTTTGCTTGAGCCTCCATTTCTGGAACTATTCCTCCCTGGTGTTTAGGTCCCTGTTCAAGGTGGTCTCAATGTCACTGAAGGTGGATGCTTATTTTGCCAGGCAACGTCATCCGCCTATGCAAATTTGCATGACTTTGTTGGAGGCACGTTGCTTGTGCAAACATTAAAGCATTGGCTCGAGTACTGAGCCTTGCAGCAGTTCATTGTTGAGGAACCAAGGCGAACTGACTTCGTTGCCCAAGTGGACACGTAGCTGCCTATCGCTCAGCATCGTCCATAGCAGGCGTAGTGTTTTGCGGCAGGGGATGATCTTTGCGAGCTTCAGCATCAAGCCTTAAATCCAGACTCTGTCATAGGCTGATGACAGGTCTACAAAGGTTGTGTTGGTCTTAAATTTCCTCTGGAATCTGGCCTCAATGTTTAAAAAAAAGACTACAGGAAACTGTTAGTTGATCTGTAGAGAGGAGAAGCAAAGAATGGTATCATACCGCTAATGATAATTACCCTTTAAAAAAACCAAAATGAATGGAAGTTAGTTTTACATGGGACCCATTTTTGTTCTTATCATGGAAAGTTACAGAAGAGCTCCTGATCCTATTTTAAATCTGGAGCTAGACCTTTCACTTGAGCTACTGAAAGCTACAATATTCTTTGCTCCTTGAGAAAGAAGAGAGTCAGTTTTTCCAGGACTCTGTGAGTTTTCAAACCTTTGCTAGAGTTGGCATCTAGCTTTCCCCTTCCATCTCCACACTGAGTTGAAAGCTGATTCAAATGCTATTAACAGAGCCATATGATCACGGGACAGTAGTTAACAGTAACAAACAGGGTTTCTACACATTAGCGCTTACTTTGGTATAACATAAATTGCCCAGGGGTGTGGAAAAGCCACCTCCCTGGGCAACGTAAGTTACACTGGCCTAAGCACTGATGTGGACAGTGCTGTATTGGTGGGAGGAGTTCTCCCGCTGAGATAGTGAACGCCACTCGGGGAGGTGGCGTAATTGTGCTGACGGGAGAGCGCTCTCCTGTCAGCATAGAGCGTCTGCACGAGCCGTGCTACAGCAGTGCAGCTACGTGGGTACAGCTGAGCCACCGCAGCGATTCTAGAGTAGCCTAACCCGGTCACCCAACACGTCAGGAAAAAGGGAACTAAGGATCTCTCATTTGAACTGTTACCTGTAGTTCAGGCAGCACTTCTCAGAGGAAATAAAAGGTAAGTCTAATGTGCTGCAACAAGGGTCATAGATAATTAGTCACTATAGGTATGAAACTTGTAAAAAAAAAAAAATGTGCTTCTTTGTTACCTTTTCTTCCTGGTTATCTTATTCTGTATTTCATCTTTTAAATAAAAAATAATCTGTTACTGCACATCTTTGTCCCTTAGGTCAGACTGCCTGATGTGTTTTCTGAAAAAACACCCATTACATTTGACAAATATGCTCCTAAAATATATGTAGAAATTAGAAATATTTTCATATAAATTTTTATTGCAATTAAAGAACAGTTTTATAATCTAGGTTAGAACATCCAGAAAGATGTTAAATAAAAATATTAACTCTCAGTTTTCCCCAAATGCCCAGAATAATTATTGATTGTATTCTCTCCACATGCTAAGGATGACAACTAAATGGATTCTAACTGCCTTTCTACAATCAAGTGGCTGTCTACTAAACATTACATATGAATGAGCCTGGGTACTATTAATTTAATGCTGGATATTAAATATAAAATAGCCAGTTGAATTTTGAGAGGTATTCTTATTAAGCGTTGAGATGTTGGAGCTGAGCGACACTTTTAGAGCTCCTGTTTTCTTTGCTGTCAATGTTGCACTTGTGAGAATTAAACACAGTTACATTGTTGTCAATGAGACTTGACTCCATATTATACTGAGCAAATGTTTTGCTTTGAAATGTTTGGAATACCAAAACAGTATTTTCCATTTTATAAAGTAACATCTTGCAACATTACAGTTGCAGAAATAAAACTGATTTTCTTATATAGTCAAAGAGGATTAAAAAAGAATTTAAAACTGGCAAAAATATTTTTAGATCATCATTTGCTAATAACCAGCTAAAATGTTTTTGTCCAAACTCTATCAACATGTCCTCCCTGGCTGAGAACTTCCATGCTATGCATGAAGTTAACTTGAGTAAATGCAAATAGATCATGTATAGGCTGAAGGAGTTGTGTATTTTGTGTATTCCACACTCATTTGGTTTTCTATGTTCATATGGAAATTTGGCCTTGTTTTTGGAAGAAAACTGGCAGTGTGTTGATTGGAAGTGGTGAGGAAAGTGCTAGAAAGCCAATTTATCTGATACTAATTTACTGTATCTATGGTGACTCAGAATGGTATGAGGAATTAAGATAGGGCTATAAAAAGAGTAAACCTTAATGCTTTGTTGGTTATTTGTAAGAAAGCAACATTATGGAAGCACAATGGAATCTCCATGATTAAGGTTGTTTTCAGTTTTCCACTTAAAGCAGATATTCAGTGCCTTTGTTCCCTAGAAAGAACACAGTGCATCTTCCCTAAATTTACAACACATAATCTGTGAGCAAAGATTTAATTTTCTAGGGATTTTCAAGTAAATCTGTTAATTAATTTGAGTAAAAATTAATTACATTTGGTCTTTTAAGTTTATTTTGAGTCTCATAATGTTTATATTCTGTATACAATTACTAATTTGAAAGGGGCACTTTTTTAGTAGCATCTAAGGGAAAAGCTATTTCTTAAGTTTACAGCTAGGTTAATTTTTGCAATATTGACAATACGCCTTATAACTGACTGTTTCTTCATCACATATATTTTTATGTCACATTTATACACCAGAATCTGGGCTTTTGTTTAAAATAATTTTATTTGTAGCCTTTGTGGTTTTGAAGAAAATCTTGAAAACCTGAACTGAGAGTTTTATTTGCTGGCTGGCCCTGTAATTTATTTTTTAAATTTTTTTATTTTCTGGCTGGCATAAACTCATTTAATAAAAACCAGGATCTTTGTGAATGTGCACCTCCAGCTTAGCGGCCCATGTTGTTCTTCATTAAAGTAGCCATTGTGGTCAGAGATCCTTCCTAAAACTAAGAAGCTCAGAAGTTTATACACAGAATCACTGCTTTGTGTATCAGTTAAGGTTGCTGCACATGTCACACACAACCTCCAAAGCAAGGGAATGAAAATGAAGACACTTAATGATTCATACCCTCTCCTCCTCTACTCAGAGATGCTGCCTCGCTGACTGCATGACCACCAGACATCACAGACAATGTATCACAACTTCAGTTCTGCACAGTAGGGGTGCTGGCATTTCAGCACTCCTTTCCCCAAACTTGAGTGAGATTTCCCAGAATTGTGCAGATCTTCAGACCAAAAATCTTGTCTTGCTTAACTGTGAGCATGTGTTTAAGTCCTGTTATTGTCAGGGAGCCTTAAACGCATGTTTAAGTGCTGTTCTAAATAGGGCTGCTTTCTTGAGTTGGGGCCTAAATTATTTTGCTTGAATGTCCTGGTGTTCTGTATCTCTATATATCTAGTAATTTCTACCTTACTGGTACTCCTGATTGCTGTTATAATAAAATGTGATTTCCTTCTCTTTACTTTTAGGGAACAGCTCTGATCTCAGTTATTTTATATCACACACAGTGATGCATACCTTAGCATCTGAGATTAGAATTGCTCTTAATGGATAAATATAAAATACAGCAAAAACACCACGTAGGACTTTAAATACAGAATTCCTATAGGTTATAATGATGGTAAAATGATTGAAATTCCATGCAGTTCTTCAGAAGATTTCCCCTTAAGTATTTTATTGTCCAATATTTTATTATAATTAAAAATGTTTCTGAAGTGACTTAGTGATTTTATCTTTTTCATCCTTTACAGAGCAATGTTAAACTTTCAGAGGTAAATAAAATAATGTATGTTTTAAGTTACTGTTTGTTAAACACTTTCATATTGCATGATTTTACTTTGGAACCGAATAAAATGTGCATCCATATCTTTTTGAACAGGGTCCTAGCTTGTAGGTATATACCTACAAAAGAGTTTTATTCTCTTTGGCTATTATTTTTAATGTAGCTGCACTTATAGTCCCTGTTAGGATCGGGGTCCCAATTAATTAGATGCTGTACAAACCTCTAGGACAATGTTTTCTCTGCTCTGAAGATCTTGCAATCTTAGGGCCTGATCCAAAGCCCATTGTATTCAATAGGAGTCTTTTTGACTTCAGCAGGCCCCCTAAGTGCTTATAATGTTGTACTTGCGTATTAATATATTGCAGCATTAGATCAGGTTTATATCACTTACTTAGTAATGTTAAGTGTATGTATTGTACCGTTGAAATTTCTTGATAATTGATTGTGTTATTTTTCATTCCTCTCTTCAATTAAAATACCTTTTGGAATCATTTCAGCAGATTGTGTTTTTATTTGGTAGTCATATTATTTTTAGTATTTATTAATGTATTTTATGTCTTTGTTTCAGGATATTGATGAATGGAATATTGCCCATCTCAATACAATATTGGACGTTGTGGGTGAAGACTGTGGAATTTCTATTGAGGGTGTAAATACCCCCTATCTCTATTTTGGCATGTGGAAAACAACATTCGCATGGCACACTGAAGATATGGATCTCTACAGTATTAATTATCTCCACTTTGGAGAGCCGAAGTCATGGCAAGTTTAATTTTTTTTTATGAAAGCTCATTTTGAAAGATGTTTGTTTTTTGTTTCAGCTGACTAAAGCAAACAGATGAGGTAGAATTACTTTGTGGTGAGGAGCTCCATTTAAACAAGATAAGAGCAATCTGGTGGGCAGCTCAGAAAGTAATGAAATTTGAGTCTTGTGATTGAAGGAGAATGGCCTTAATAATATAAACTTCTCCTTTTAAAGGAAATGGCTAAAAAGGAAGAATCTGAGACTGAAAAGAAAAAACAGTAGTTAAATAACAGGCATTACTTGAATCAGGAAACCCAGGATACTATTTGAGAGAACTCTTATTAGGGCCTCGTTGAAATCATTGGGACAGATTTGGTGTCTTAAGTCCACATCAGCGAAGTACTTAAGCATGTAGTTCATTTAAATGTATAACCAGACCTCTGAAGTCAATGAGATTGCTTAAGTGCTTAACATTAAGCATGTGCTTAAGTGTTTTATTGAATTGGGTCTGTATTATCCACTGCTACACAGCAAACTCCACGTAAGTGGAGACTGAATGATCAAGGTACGTCTTAACTGTGATGCCCACAGCCAGAGAGGTTCTCTCTCCTGGACTGTTAACTGGATAGCCTTTTGGTAGTGTGAGGAGACAACTAGGGGTGTGTGTGTGTGTGTATATGAAGAGAGAGACTTTACATTTTTCATTCTGATGGAGATAATTCATATTATGGTATGTTGGTTGCTTTATCATATGCTAAAGCTGTACATAGTGCATGTCATCCCTATGTAGGTGCCGATTTATTTCTGGTCATCCAGTTATGATGATGGGAATGTTTGCAGGTGATGTTCACTAATGGTGTTGTTCAAATTATGTCCATGCATTCAGTCACTTCTGGATTAGGAGAAAGAACTGTGACATTTTAAATATGTAAGCTGGCAAACTGATCAACATACTAAAGATATTGCAAAAGCACAGTAGGAAAAGCAATGTTTTCTAGATTCTAGTTCTAGTCTAAATGCTTTGCATTTAAATACAAGACAGTGGAGCTCTTGTTACTGAGAACGTAAAGAGGACCAGGACCATAACTTCAAATCATCTGCCTAGAATATATCTGAGTTTTGCATCATTGAATAGTACATTTTGTTTGAAATGATTGGTTTAATAAATTCAAGTATATTATGACTTCATTGTAGAAAAGAAAGATGGACTTTTCACATACAACATTGATGGATGGATATATGAAAAACTACCTAAATAGGCAACTCTCCTTTAAACACAAAGTTTTTATGTTCGATCCCAAGAAATATGAAAGTAATTCAAAAAGCAGTTTTGAAAAACACTTAATTTTGTAAAATTCCAACCAGCAAAGACACTTACTTAATCCTAATAGAACATGGACATGTTCTGGCAAGAGTTTAGCAAAGTTCTGATTAGTGCGTTTTAAAGTATTTTAAAGCAAGTTTTAAGATTTGTGCTGAATGTCCCTCTAGTCTACAAATAGGTTTTGAGTCTTCCAAATAACTAAATAAAATTTTAAAAGAAATGGGAGCTGGGCACTCAACTCCCATTGATTTTTTTCAATGAGAGATGAGTACCTAACTGCCCTTTGTGACTTTGAAAATCTCCCCTCCAAAACACATTGTTTATTGCTATTATATGGTAAATAGAGACTGTTTATAAGTAATAGAAAAATATTTAGTTTCTTTATCATTCTTTGAGCATAAGTACTTAATAGAGCTACGTTAATTTTATAAATTTAATGTATTTACATTACATTTAAGTACAGTTGAGTTCAGTAAATATGAAAAGCTAAAGGCATTTTGACAGTCATAATTAGATAATGCTCAGCTGCATCAAAAGTACTACAAAATGAACTGTAAAGGCAGTTTCCACAGTATGCATCCGATGAAGTGAGCTGTAGCTCACGAAAGCTTATGCTCAAATAAATTGGTTAGTCTCTAAGTGCCACAAGTACTCCTTTTCTTTTTGCGAATACAGACTAACACGGCTGTTACTCTGAAACCTGTAATGACAGTTGACTCACTTGGTTGCCGAGCAACTGAAGGCACAGATCATGACACTGACAAAAGCATATGTTAGTGTAATTGTTTAGAATGGAAGTCATGAAATGGAGGAAGCAGATGGGCCTAGAATGAAGGGGTCACAGTTTAGAGGGCCACTGCACCTGTATTCCCCCTCTGAGGTCCTTCAAGGGTATTCACTCAAAGGTTACCGGCTCCTAGCCCTCTTCTCTCTTGGGCTAACACTCATCTCTCTCTCTCTCCATCCTGACTGGAGGTTTTGAAGGCTGCTCAAAGTTTTGAACATAATTTTAAGGGTTCTATTAAATCTCTCAAGAGCTGTTTAGTCTGGGGGTGGTAAGAATCTGACCGAAATTGTTGAACTCCACATTTCTCTCATCGTCCTTCATGCAGATCTGACTTAAAGTTTGCCCCCTGATCAGTCAGAATCTCACAGGTAAACACCGTCTGGCTGAATAATGCTGGCAAAGCCACTTTGTCTATCTCCATAAAGGAGAGAACTATTAGTTCTGGGTATTGGGTGGCACAATCTCTTATCATCAGAATATATTTTATCCTGTCCAGGTAATTTTGCTAAGGAGCCCTTCTCCAGCCCACCACTTAATTCAGAGATCACTAGCAAATGCTACTTTGGTGAATCTGAGATTGAAAAATAATTTACTAAGATGAAGTATCTTGGCTTTTAATTGTGACGAGAGCCTTCTATCTCTTCCAAGGGCCAAGACTGACAGATTATGGAACTAGCATGCCTCAAATATGCTGACCACAATGGCAGCAATTGGGGAATGGGGAGCTAATTTCTGAAAGTATCCTGTGGATAAATAGTGCACCCCATTCATTATACAGTTCAGTTCTCAATATTTATGCGAATAAGAGTGTCTGTGTAAATTGTATATCTTGATTCCACAACTGCAATTGCCATACCCACATAGAGCCCAGTGGAGCTCTGTGCAGGAAAGGTGTGTGCCGCATCTAGTCAGGTGCCAGATCAGGGCCATAATGAATGTGTGTGAGTGTTTAAATGTGTAATATTTCTTTTTGGAGTTATTTTTTTGCTTTAGGATCTGTAGTGCCTGAAAATTGTCTAACGCAGAAAATAATTTGAAGGTGAACGGGGAAAGAATGGAAAATTAAAGAAAACATGGGAAACAGTGCAGGAGCTGGGGGAAAGAGAAAAAGATACAGTGAGGGGACAGTTACTAGATTTGAGGGTATTATAATTTATTTTTTTTGCTAGTAGTTATCATTTTTATTACCATAAGTTTTCCTTTGCATTCTTTTCTGAAAAAATGTGGAATTCTATAAAATAGTTATTTTACTATAAATTTATATTCATGACAGTTATTTAAATGGTGCTTTGTTATATTCTTTGATTTCCTTATAGAACATTCTTAGTTACCTAGCAAAGTTGTCTGAGTGATTAATGGTTCACTTAGCCCATATATTTAAGGGAGTGGCTTGGTGATTTGGAGTTCACAACAGTTTGTGTTGAATACTTGTTCACATTACAAAATGCCTTTTCTGCTGGCTGTTGTAAGGTGTTTTTATCCCCCCCCCCCCCCAGTCTGGTTAATATTTTTGGGTCACAGGATAAAGCTGATGCACAGGACGGTATGCTGGGAGAATTTGTGTCTTGACTAATAAATTGAGAAATTTTGCTCATGGCCTAAGTATTGAACTGCACTTGGAGCTAAACCCAAGTTTTGGAAAACATTCCTAGAAAGCAGACACTAGCATCTGTATAATGTGATTCTAAGAATGTCACTCTGTGTGTCACTCTGAAGCCTAAACCATCTCTTGAGTTAGTATGATGTGGTGGAAACAGCTACATGTATGGTTGAGAATTCTTTTTGTTCAGAATATCACCAAGTTCAATCACTGGGCTTCATGGTCTGTTCCGGTCCAGTTTTTAAGTTTCAGAACATTTTGACTTCACAAATTACACTTGTATGGTGTACAGCTGCAGTAATGCATGTATCTGTATAGTGCCATAAGTCCTAGGCCATTGTGATATCAGAGGTAACTCAAGCAATCACTCATACTCTACTGCTACTTTGCATGCAACAGTTTAATTGGTTGTGTGAGGGATACTGCACAGAGGGTGGACTACTTGGCCCAGCTGCCACACTTGTGCACCTAATTGCCACCTGCACAAATCAACACACAAAAACACAACCAGCATACAGAACCCCAAACCATACATAGCCCCTAACTGCAGCACTGCCCCATTTGCCGCCTGCACAAATCCATAAACTCTCCCAGCACGACACAACCAGCATGCACAATACCCCAAACACAAACAGCCCTGCTCACTGCAGCATACTCTCTTTGTTTGCTACCTGCACAAATCTCCTAACACAACCCTCCCCCAAACAGATCAACAGTACCACCCACACAACTGCACAATCAACACACACTAAACCCAAACATCACTCTGAAGCCTGGAATGTCTGCTGAATCAGTGTGTAGCAATGGAAACAGCTACCTGCATGGTTTAGAGCTCTTTTTGTTCATAGAATCACCAGGTTCAATCATCACTGGTATTCATTGTCTGTCACTGTCCAGTTTTTAAATTCTCTGCCATTTTTGGCTTTTTTACACACATGACTTTGAGTTATGCCTGTGTGACAGCATGGGCTTCCAGTTACTAGACTAGTATAATAATAAAGGCAGAATACTGAACAGCATATGTAGATTGGAGCCATGTAGAAGATGCATACGATGCTCCAAGGTATAATATATGTCCATAAATCCAAAAAATTTGAATAGGGCCTTTTAATTTTGGAAAACATTCTAGGCACATTAGGTGTCTGAAATAAGTTTCTTCTTGCTGCTGTTATCTGACTCATGTAAAATAGTGGTGAAGGTAGATACTTCTCAGATCTGGAAGGATTAAAATGATATAAATCTCACTGAAGAATATTAGTGAAGGATACATGAAAGTGTTGATTAAACAGGAGCAAAGCAATTATTT